CTTGAAAGTATACCAAAAGTCAGTCTGTCTAACGTTAAATGCAAACTCTTTGACAAAATTAGCTAATTTCCCAAAAGTTCTTTGAAGTTTCTGAGCAGAACCAAGAATTCTTTTTCCTTCTAAGTCACCGCCAATCTTTATTGCATGCATGGGTGCACGCATTTGATCATATCATCTCGTCAAAACAAACCAAAATTTCATCAAATTTAGAAATTCAATATCTCGATCAACTACCATTCAATCCCTCCGTTTACCTTTTAATTATTACCCTCTCTCTTTCAATTCTTTATATATAGCTGCTAGACATCTTTTATACAGCAGACGTACTAGTAAACTATTTACATAAGAAAATGTCACCTAACAGCAACAGTCTGATTTTATGCTTTCTGGCTTGTGTGCTATTCTCCAGCTTCCTGCAAGATTCCCAAGCTTTACATCATTATAAATTTGTAGTGAGTGATATTGATTCTTTTATCTCTTTTTATATCAATAATTTTCTTTTCTCTTGTTAAATTTCTTAACAAATCAACACCTACAAGATTTTACCTGCTCATTGAACCAGCCCTTGTTCAGTTCAAATTTTCTTGCACCATGCACAGGTGAAAGAAGCTCGGTACAGAAGATTGTGCAGCTCAAAAGAGATACTAACTGTCAATAGAAAATTTCCTGGCCCGACATTGTATGCTCACAGAGGAGATACAGTCATTGTGGACGTTATCAACAAAGGAAGCTATAATATAACGCTTCACTGGTACTGATGGCAGGCTAAATATAGTTTTTCTGACTAGAACTCTAATGTTTTTTCATACTATTCTCTTTCCCTCAAAGTTCTTGACAAAAGTGAATTGAATTGAGACTTCAAAAATTTTAGGCATGGAGTGAAACAGCCAAGGAATCCGTGGTCGGATGGCCCTGAATATATCACGCAATGTCCAATCAGGCCAGGCAATAGATTTCGGCAAAAGATCATATTTTCAGATGAGGAAGGAACTCTTTGGTGGCATGCACACAATGACTTTCTGCGATCCACCGTTCACGGAGCTATTATTGTCTATCCCCGCCGTGGTTTCCCCTATCCATTTCCTAAGCCTTATGCAGAAGTCCCTATCATATTAGGTATGAGTTTATGATCCCCCATGTTACTTGTATACATTCTTTTCCTTAACCTTATGCAGAAGTCCCTTTGATATTGGTACGAAGTTTTTGGTTGTTCAAATAATCAGTTTTTGCAATACTAATTAGTTACATGTTCAGGAGAGTGGTGGAAGGAAGATGCAATGGTAGTGTTTGAGGATTTTGTTAGAGGAGGAGGCCAGCCAAAAGTTTCTGATGCCTATACCATAAATGGTCGGCCTGGGGACTTCTATCCATGTTCCAAACGTGGTAGGATTTCATATTATCTCCTTTTACCTCTAATTCAATCGTGTACGCTTTCACTAAACTTGGTTAATGCACTATGATCATCTCATAATTAATGAAGCACTAGAGACATTGAGACGACTATATATACATATCCATCTTAATTGTCCCCTAATAGCCAATCACATTATGTTTATTATGTTATTACCCACTGTACAAAGATTTAAACCTGAAGAAAGAAATTTTTCTGTGGGTAAAGTATAGAGGTCTTCTCTAGCAATTTTTGTGGAGGACAACTTACATCCACAAGGGACGCTTTTACTTTTGGCTTTAATCAACTTAAGTAACAATTCATTTCATTTTCTCTTTTTCCTTTCAACCTCATTGTGGCAGGAAAATTTAAGCTAAAGGTCACGTACGGGAAGTCTTATCTTCTTCGGATAATCAATGCCGCCCTGGATGAAATTCTTTTCTTTGGTATAGCAAAGCACAAACTCACTGTTGTTGGCACTGATGCTAGTTACACAAAACCATTGACAAGGGATTTCATCACAATAAGCCCTGGCCAAACCCTGGATTGCCTGCTCTTTGCAGACCAAAAACCAGATCACTATTACATGGCTGCGAGGCCATACGTGAGTGGCATTAATGTCACTTTTAGTAACACAACCACCACAGGAATGGTAAAGTACATAGGAGCAAGACTGCACAGTCGATTTTCTTCATCGCCGCCCCTAATTCCATACCTTCCTTGCTTCAACGACACCTCCGCGGCTGTAAATTTCAGTGGAAGCCTAAAAAGCTTGGCAAGCAAAGACTATCCAGTTGATGTCCCATTGACAGTGGAAAAAAGATTCATGTCAACTGTCTCAGTCAACACATTCCCGTGCCCAAATAAAACGTGCGACGGACCCAATGGGACTAGATTGGCAGCTAGTATGAACAACATAACATTTGTTACCCCATCATTCGATGTACTTGAGGCATATTACTATGGCATTCGAGGAGTTTTTGGGAAAAATTTTCCTGATCGTCCTCCGTTTGTGTTCAATTATACAGCTGATTACCTCCCTTTGGAGTTACAGAGATCAAAAAGAGGGACAGAAGTTAAAACAATCAAATACAATTCTTCAGTGGAGATAATTCTTCAGGGAACAAAATTAGTCGCTGGAATAGATCATCCCATGCATCTTCATGGATATAGCTATTACGTAGTTGGCTGGGGATTGGGGAACTTTAATGAATCAAAGGATCCTATGACCTATAATCTTGTTGACCCTCCGCGGCGTAATACCATTGCTGTCCCCAAAAATGGCTGGACCACCATCAGATTCCGAGCAGACAACCCTGGTAAGTCCCATCCCGGCCAGTTAATTTCCACCTACTAAAAGAATATTTGAGAACTTAATTATGGGCTCGGTGGTCTTGCTGTTGATGTTTTTTCACCAAGTCATTTGTACACTTTTGAGTAACACTACTGTCTTTTGTACTACATTACAGTTACTAAATTTTTCCCTTGGATAATATATAGGGGTTTGGCTACTGCACTGTCATCTTGAACGTCACATAATATGGGGAATGAGTACTGTTTTGATCGTCAGAAATGGGAAGAAACCTGAAGAACGAATTTTGCCACCTCCACAGGACATGCCAGCATGTTGATTAGGTGAAGAAGAAAAATAATGCCTAGGAAATAATTAATGGCCCCAGATTTCTTCTTGTTTTTGTTTGAACCTTGGAGAGATTAAACTTTGGGATTTGGTTTCTTTCATCAGTAGTTACATTAATTTACATTGGTTGTTCTTATGTTGGAATACTAATTTGGATAGCATATCCAGATTTTCATGATGTTTGAGCTCTTAGTATCGAATTTTCAATGTTGCGTTGAATAGTTGTGGTTAGAAAAGATAGATCCAGATATATCTTCACACCAGATTTTTTTAAAGACGTCGTGAAGCTAATTGATTTCTTTCTTGCCCGCCTAAGTCATTTAACGACAATAATGATGGATTTAATTTTATAAATTAGCACGGTCTGGTGCAATAAAAATTGGACTTTTTCATCATATTGTTTGCAAAGCTGAAACTTGCAATTTAATTGCTGAAATGTCCAAAGGATTATAGATTAGCGTTATATTAGAGATGCAATGCTATATCGATAGAATGATACTTTGAATGGAGATAAAGTGTGAAAAAGTTAGTAACCAATTAAGTCAGAAAAGCAATTACATGTTCTATTTCAATTAGCAATCCTGAATTCGTTGGGTGATTTTGGAGCAAAGAGTATAATTGAGAAATCATGAATTCGAGCCCTCCCACTCATACTATAAGAAAAAAAAATTAATTATTTGAGACAAGAACGTTCAGATGTACTGTATTAATCATTTGGCTAACCACCTGTAATTGGTCCTATATTAATCAATCTTCTTTGCTATTAGCATTTGCTTTATAGTTGAACTATTCCTGAAATTCACAAAGCTTGAAGTGTTGAAATTCCAGTCGTTGCAAACTGATAAATTAAATCAAGTACTAAGTTTTATGAAATTAGCTAGCTAGGGCATGTTATCATTCACCCCACATACTACTATCATTCACCAACTTTTTCTTGATAGTCTTAATTAGAGTCACCTTAACCAATTTCTGAACACTTTTACAGGGAGTGAGAGCTATTAATGGAATATGAATATGATGATGTCTTTTCAACCACTGCACTTACTCCCTTATGCTGGATACTTTTGACTCCAGGACTTGGGAGGTGTGAATTAGGTGACTTTAGAAGCAAATATCATCTATACATGTTTGTAAGAAAAACATAGAAAAAACAAATTGAAAGAGAAAAGGAAAAATAAATGGCAAAAACTTCTTAATATACATGAACCTGAATTTGCTTCCCAGCTGTGCATTAAATTTTTGTCTCACACGCGCCTTAAAGTCATACAATTAAAGATAATAAGCCATTGATAATAGAGGGACAAGGTTTTTATTTACAGTTTGTCTAACAAGCCCTTGATAACAAGTTTAAGGGCACCCGTTAAAAAAAAAATCCTTTTGTTTATCAGTTGGAGAAAAATAAGGCAATGAGGGGAATGAAAAAAGGAATAAAAAAATTAATAATCTTGGTAAATTTTTTTTTTTGTTTTTGGTAAGCACAATCTTGGTAAAGTTATGGACTCCATTTAGAAATCCACTACAAGATAAGCATGTGATCAATGTGTACCAAAAAAAAAGGAGCAAGCCCTCCGGTTGTTGAAGGCTGTCATTGATGAATTTTGGAAACAAGAACCAAAAATACAAAAGAAGTCTTAATTGAGAATTGAAGTATCCCAGAATTAATTTTGTTTTATGTGCAAACGAAACTTGTTGACAACATTAACTCCTTCCCCTGAAAATGGTCCAGCTTCAACCAAAGGAAACTTAGAAACCTGTTTTCTTAAGTCAATGAATTTTTGATCAGATCATTTGATCATTTAATGTAACGAGGCCAAGATGAATTAGATAGATATACTATCTCCATCAACCAGCAACAGAAACCATCCATCCATCAACTAAATAATTACTCCCTATCTTTCGTTTCCGTATAAAACTGTGGAAGACACCTTAATTGTCCACTGCATCGCTTGCTACGAACAAGAGATACAAGAATCTTGGTCCAAAAATGTCCCCTTGCTGCAAGAGTTTCACACTATCTCTTCTTGCTATTCTGCTTTTGTCTAGCTTCCTCAAACATTCCCAAGCATTTGATCGTTATACATTCGTTGTAAGTGCTGCTCATTTTCTTTTCTTCATTGTTCTACGGGTGGACTAGTACTTCATCATCAGGCAGCTAAATGGTTCAGTTTGATACAGGATGTGGATCCTCGTTCTAGAATACTAGATAAAGTATTAGCGATACAGACGGGGAATTCCTGAACTCGGGGGCTCCTCATTCTGTATTGCAATTAATTCTTAAATAAACCACCTCGTTCGTGAAAATTAATTTGTTGTTAACATTTGATAAATTTTCTTAATATGTTAATTGATGAGCATATATATTGCGATTGTCAATAAATTTGTGACTGTATACAGGTACGCGAAGCTCGGTATGAGAGATTGTGTAGCTCAAAGACGATACTAACTGTAAATGGAAAATTTCCTGGCCCGACATTGTATGCTTACAAAGGAGATGAAGTAATTGTATACGTTTCCAACAAAGGAAATGAGAATATAACCCTTCACTGGTACGCTATATAAATGTCTAAGGTTTCTGTTTTTTGCCCTGTAGTTTTACTTAATTTTCCAGAGACCCGGTCAACTTTCACAATCAGGCAGATTCTTCCATGCCGGTTGGTAATTTGGTTTAGTATTTATTCTTAAATATTTTGATTAGGTAAAAGGACGTACAATATAATACTCTGCAACTGCATACATCCAAACATGTGCTTTTTCTTAAAAAAAAAAAAATTTAGTAAGAGGGGAATAGGATTTAAGAAGCGAAAATGGCGAAGGGGGGCAGAAGGATGCATATGAAATATGATCGTATCTTTATATTAGGGGTAAGAGAAATATTTAGATTATTTAAAAATCAAATATAAAAGGGTGATTAGAATTGAGAAGAACTATAAAAAGAGCAAACGAAGAAGGGTAAAAAAAGAATAAATCATTATCACAATATTGTTATCTATTTGTATTTGCTGCTTTTCTTAGCCTTATTATCTTCTTTTCTATCTATGCAAACAAAATAATGAAAATTTTTTATTTATTTGTTGCCTTTGCATATTTTTCTTCTTTATATGGAATTCCTTTACGTTATCACCATTTCATCAGAACTATAAGTGCATATGGTGACCGTAGGAGTAATAAATACCATCATCAATTTCATAGCTATAGATGTATAAAATTTAATCAAGAGTTAAATATCTAGCAAAAATCGTTATAGGTTCTTATCTGCATAATATTCAAACCTATGGGGGTAAACTGAGATTAAGTTAAAGCTCAGGAGGGGAAAATGAACAATTATGTATATCCACAATGGCAATGCCACGATTTTACGACATGGTCAATGGCAGCAACCTAATTTTCAGGGCTTAGCTGCTGTTATATCAATTTTCTTTATCTCCTTTTTTTTTTCATCATGTTCTTGACAATAATTACAGTGAACTAACGAGCTTTCAAGAATTTGCAGGCATGGAGTGAAACAGCCACAATATCCATGGTCAGACGGCCCAGAATATGTGACACAATGTCCAATTAAACCAGGCAACAAATTTAGCCAAAAAGTCATATTTTCTGAAGAGGAAGGAACCCTTTGGTGGCATGCACACAGTGATTGGTCGCGAGCCACCGCTCATGGTGCTATTGTCGCGAGACTCGTTAATTTCGTTATGAGTATCTTCCAATTAATTTCCAAGTCAATCGTGATTGAAACTGACTGCGAAATGATCTTTGGACATCATTTTCATTGCTGATGAATAGAGGTGACAAAATGGATAATTGATTAGATTGTGATGGATTGACATTTCAATGACTTGTTTATTAAAGTCCTTATTTTAAATGAAATTGAGAAAAGGAGATAGTCAGCTAATTTTGTCTTGACTATTATTATATATTTTCTTGTTTTGTACGAAACTGAGAAAAGGAGATGGTCAACTAGTTTTGTCTCGACTATTATTAAACATTTTCTATCAGTATATAGTATAGACGCAAATCACATAATTCAAATTTAAATTTGAAATTCACTTTTTGTATAGATGACATATATCTATACCTATTAATGTTAAAAATATATTACACTGACAGTAAATAAATAAAAAAATTAATCCTTATTTTATCTAGTTGTTAATGCCACATGCTTTCTTTCGAAACCCAAAGAGCTTACGTCAATTTTTATAAACCTAAACCCTGAGGGAACCCCAAAAGCCGGTATCCTTTGAGGTCCCACAGGAGACTTATAACTACCAACCTAAATCTTCCCAACCCCGATGTGGGATACATCAAAGGGGACGACACCCCAAACCTCCACAACGGGGGAGCCTGCTGCTAAGCCCACGAGAACCCAACCCCTCCAGAGGCGGTGTTTCTTTCTTTCGAAACCCAAAGAGCTTACGTAAATCTTTAGAAACCTAAACCCCAAAGGCCACATGCTTGATTAGTCATATTGTATACTGAATAAACTGGCTGGCCGTTGTTTTCCAATGTGACGGTACTGAAATGGATGGTTTGAGAGACGTATGCTAAATGAGTCACGGCATACTGCCGACTTTTGAAACTTCAATGATAACGCTTTCGCATGGGCTTTTGATTTTGCTACATGAATTCTTCAGAAGTAAGATACAGATCCCCCCTACGCAAAGAAAGAAAGAAAAAAAATGTGTGTTGAGATACCGAAGATCTTTTCCGTGGCATAATCAAATTGGAAAGTTTGGGATATTTTTAGAAAATATTTTGGAATATTTAAAAGTAGAAGAGTTTCTAGAATATATTTTGAGATATTTTTTAAAATTTTAAATAAATTTATCCATATCCGTCCATGAATAGATGAATATGGATATCTTAAGTTTTTTTTGCATATGGGTATAAATGAGTTACCCATTAATTTATTTAAAATTTTCTTCCTCCAAACCTCCTCTCTTCCTCCACTTTTTTTTTTTTTTCAGATTTTTCATTTTGTCATGATATTAACTACTTTTGCTTCGTTATTATTATAATTTGTTAGTTTTATCCTATCATTTTATTTTCTCTTAGTTTGTTAACTTGCTCATTTTTCAGCATTACTAATTTATGAAAAATTTTAGCCTCTTTTCCTACCTTTCCAAAATAAAATTTAATTTACATACAAAAAAAAAATGTTAGGAGTTCAAAATTTTTGAATTAAGTTTTTATGTTAACTTTTATAGTATTCAGTTCAAATTTTATATTTTTATTGTTCAATTATTAAATAGTATGTAATTTTATGACATAAAGTATGAATGAGAAAAAAATTGGCAATTAGAATTATTGAACATTATAAGTAAATATTTAAAACTAATAATGGTTGCAAAGGGTGATATAAATTGATAACTTAGTTTGTAAAAATGAATTTAAATGAGTTTATCAAAAGTTAAAATAAATGGATTATAAATGAGTAATTGAGTTACCATTTTAACCAATCCAAATTCATCCAAGTCACCCATTTTGACACCTCTATTTGAAAGGCACCACTTACATCAGCACTATCAACCATGAACAATGGAACGATTTCACCAAGAAAAGGCTGCATAGCCAATTTTGTATTCTACTACTCAAATTCTTGTCTAGTTAAAAAACGCAGCATATATAAAATGTTAAAGCAACAAAAGCTCCTGTTATGGCAAGGATACTTGAAATTTTCCAAACAAAATCTAGTTCCCATACATATGTTGGATGTGACCTCATGGTGAAGTAACCTTCAAGAATTCGTTATAATAATGTGTCTCAAGTGCAAAGTGACGATCAAAGCTAATTCCTTGATTATTTATATTTCTCTGAGTCAAAAGAGAGGAGGGAGGAGGGCGCCCCCTAGGGTAGGGAGAAAGAATAGACGACTGTTTACAGAACAACAGGAAGGAAAAATTCGTTCTTGATACTTGAAAGTTTAGGAGAAAATGAAAAGGGCTCATTTCTTTAGCTTTTATCTATCTCACGAATGAGAGAGAAATGAAAGCTCAACAATTTATAGTCTACTTCACACCGTTACAGATCAAGCAGAAACACAAACAAATAATTCTCACTTGTAAAGCTGCTTGAATCTGCTACAGGCTTCCAATACATTGTTCCTGTTTCCAAAGGCACTCACCCTAATGAAACCTTCACCACCAGGTCCAAATCCACTACCTGGAGTAGTCACTACATGGGTTTTCTCCAGAATTTCATTGAATACGTCCCAGGAACTTTGTCCAGGAAAATGTACCCAGACATATGGGGCATTTGTCCCTCCATAAACCTTAAATCCAAGGGAATTGAACGTGTCCAGTATGATCTGAGTATTTTCCTTGTAGAAACCAACCACATCTTGCATGGCCTGAATATACCAGAAGTTTGTCAATTAGGGAAAGCAGGATAGTATTATCGTTCTCTGAAAGTGACCAAGGAGGAAAACTAGAAAGCAACTTTTCTAAATTGCTTCCTTCTTTTTTCCCACAGTTGGGGATTTCCATTTTAATTTCATGATTATTGCAGCATTTTTGTGTCTCCTATCATCTATCTAATAATGATTGAACAAGAAAGATCAAACTGACCTTGATGCCTTCAGGTGAAAGGCATGCCAAACCACCAGCTTGAGCAATGTTGGAAGCACCATTGAAAGCAGTACATACAATGCGGTTAAAGTCCTTGGCCACAGGAAACCCATCCGAATATAAGAGCTCTTTAGGAATAACAGTCCATCCTAAACGTACTCCAGTGAAACCAGCATATTTGGAGAACGAGGAAACTTCAATTGCAACCTGCAAGTGCAATACTTCAGATACTGTGCATTTTAAGTAGAGATGCAAACTTTAGCCACTTATTCTCTACTTACTTCTTTAGCTCCAGGAATCTCAAAAATGGATCGTGGTTTGTTTTCAGAGACATACATCGCATATGCAGAATCATAAACTATGATGGATCCGTTGTCCTTTGCGAACTGTACCAATTTAATTAGTTGCTCCCTTGATGCAGCAGAACCAGTTGGATTGTTTGGTGAACAAAAAAATATGATGTCTGTGCAAAAAACCTTGGACAAATCAGGAAAGAAACCATTTTCTGGATTGCACCTCATGTACTCGATCTTTCCGTACTTCTCAACATCCTTTTGAAATTGTCCAGTTTGGCCCATAATAACACTTGAATCCACATAGGCCTGGAGAAGAAACAAAGATAAGAATATAAATCTCCGAATAAAAGCAAAAGTTTCCTAGTTCAAAGTGGTTTGTGGTTTAAGCTTTCTGCTTCCCATAATCAGCTAACCACTTCCAGATTCAGATTAAAAATCAGCCATAACCACTTGACAAATTCTAAGACACTTGCACAAAACAGCCATGCATTCTCTGTTGTTAAGAATCATTTCCCTTTGTTTTATTTCTTCATCTTATTTGTTGATTTGTTCGCTGCCTTTGTTTAATGCTACATATTCTACGTAAGCATCACAAATCTATGCGCCCAAAAACAAGGGAGGTATTATGTTGGCAAGGACCTCAACTGCGACATAACAAAATGTATAGTGAAATGTACCTGTCAGATTTAACTTGAGATCTAATGTTTTGAAACTAAAAATATACTTTAAAGGTCATCTAAAGATGGTCAACTACACAGAAAGTCATTGACTTTCAAAGAAAATAAAAGAAAGCAAGACCACTTTCCGCATTGACCAAGCCAGATCATCTCTGATTAAAGTTGTCAAAGAACGTTAAATCTTGAAGAAAAATAGGACCATTTACTACTGCTGCAAAAGGAGAACCATTTTCTTTTGTATTTTGTGAACCATTTTTTTAAAACATTACCGGGTATGATGGGTCTTGGACAGCCATGGTAACCTTAGACCCAAAAAGGACCTGCAGAAAAGAAGCCAGACTAAATTAAATTATAACATCATTCGACATGACAAATTCCATTCAGACAGAAAAATAAAAATTTCAAAATATACAAAAAAAGAAGTGGATCAAACAGCCAAACCTGGAGACGAGATATATCACTTTTTGCACCATCTGACACAAATATGTCGTCTTCCTCAATGCCAACATCTGCATAAAAATTTGAAGCAATTGCAGCTCTCAATGGCTGCACAAGTCAACAATACAAGCATTAATCTTTCTCTTTTGGAAAACATCATCATTCCTCTACATTATAACTACAAGAGAAAATAATGTGGAAATATTACAAGAGTACATTCTCTAAGAAATATTTAAATTCTGGGGATGTAATATTTCATCCCATGGTTATTCTCTTTCATTGGTTGGCATTATCACAAGACTATACAATGATATGAGAAAAAACACAGAATCTATTTCACCAGCTTCGTGATAAGTGAGAAAGGAATTGAAGAGATTAAGAAACATGTCTAACAGTGAGATAAAGTTCCTGGCAGATCAAAACTGCAGCATATCGAAATTGACAAGTAGATGGAGAAGATCTTAACATACTTTTTCACCTTGTTCAGCTCCATAACCACTATAACCTTTAACTGTTGACAATGCACGTGACCTCTGTAATAATGGGAAAACAGAAAAGCCAAAATCAACTTTGATCACAGGATATTTCAATCAACACAAACCCTGGACCAGCCTAACAGAGAACACCATAGATGGCAATTTTGAAATTAAAAATATTTATACCATGAGATTGCCCTTGTGCAATAGTATCTAAGATGAGGTAACGAGGGGGAGGGAGTTAAAAGGGCCATAACTATCGAATTACTGACCTATCACCACCACTAATGATAAAGGAATTAAAATGCAACTGTGAGGTGCAAATATGTAAAATCATCATACATAGAAACCCAGCATACTGCAATTCATTCACCAACTCCAACTTAGATTAGGGGCATATGGTACGTTAAACAAT